TCACATCTGTAATCCCAGCACTTTGGGAGGCCGAGGTGGGTGGATCACCTGAGGTCAGGAGTTTGAGAGCAGCCTGGCCAACATGGTGAAACCCCATCTCCATTGTGGTAGTATGCGCCTGTGGTCCCAGGTACTCAGGAGGCTGAGGCAGGAGAATTACTTGAACCTGGGAGGCAGAGGTTGCAATGAGCTGAGGTAGTGCCACTGCACTCCAGCCTGGGTGACAGAGCAAGACTCCATCTCAAAAACTAAACTAAACTAAACTAAACTAAAATACAAACGTATACAAGAGGATGTGCATGGGTTATAAACAAATACTATGGCAGTTTATAGAAGGAACTTGAGCATCCTCAGATTTTGGTATCTGTGGTGGGTCCTGGAACCAGTTTCTTGCAGATACTAAGGGATAAATGTAGTACATATACATTTTTTAAATCAATCTGATGTCTGTGAAATGTTATCTCATTTTGATTTAAATTTGCATTTCTTTAAAATATAATGAGGCTGAACATCTTTTCATAAATGTATTGCCCATTCAAGTTTTCTTTTCTCGTAAGTGCTTATTCAAGACTTTTGCCCATTTTTGGGCAAACAAGAGTTACTTGTTTTCTTAATGATATATGGTTTTTCATATATTCTGAATACTATCATTTTGTTAGTTTTAATGCTGCAAATAATTTCTTCTTGTTTGCAGTTTGTCTTTATGCTTTCTTCAGGAGTCTGGAAATATACATAGTATTAAATTGAATGAAGTCAGATTTATCTTCTTTATGGTTTGTACTATTTCATTTTGTTTAAGAAACTCTTAAATATCTTAATGTCACAAAGACACTCCCCTTTATTTAAGGATTTGCCCTTCACACTTAAATCCAGCTGAGATTTATTTATTTTTAATGTGTGGAGTGAGATAGGGATCCAATTTTAATTATTTCAGTGTGTATAACCAATTGTCTCAGCATATTTTATTGAATTCCATTTTTTCCTCCACTGATCTGATTTGTTATAAACGTTTTCACATACATGGGGGTCTGTTTCTTGGCTTTTTGTTCAATTCCATTGGTTACTCACCTGTGATAATATCACATGTTGTAATAATTCTTAATATTTGTGAAGGTCAGTAATCACTATTCCAAACAACTTCTCCTTTCTCTCCTCTTTCTCTTTTTCTCTTTCTTCTTTTCATCTTCCTATTCCTCCTGTTTTTTCTTTCCCTTCTGCTTCAAAGTTATCACTATTTTTTTTTTCTTTTTGCCGGGTTAAGCCCTCTTCCCTTACATACACATATAAAGACTTGTCGGCATTTTAAAATTCAGATTGTATTAAATATATAGATCAATTTAGTAATAACAGGCAGCTTTATGATTTTGAGTGCTCCAATAAAATTAGTATTTTTCTTCATTAAAATCTTTTCCATATTCAGTTAGATTTATTTTTAGGCCCTTAAAGTTTTTTAAACTTATCATTGCAAACAATCTTTTATAAAATTACATTTTCTAACTAATCATGCCAGTTAGTACAAATGCAACAAATTTATTTACATTGATTTTGAATCCAAGAACACTGATAAACTTATTAATTTTAAAAATTTCTATGTGTGTTCTTTTAGGTTTTCTAGGAATATTATAATGTCATCTGAAAATAATGAAGTCAATTTATTCTTTTCTAAGCTGAACCCTATGCCTTAAAACAACAACAGCAATTCAGCATCAGAGGGTAGAGTCAATCATGCTCTTCTGTTCATAGCATGCTACTATCATTGGTCTTACAAAGCCCTTCTGTTATTTATTGACTTATTTATTCTCTTTATCTTTATCCCATATTCTACTGCTATTTGCCTTTTCTCTATAGATACCATTTAAAATATTTTTAAATATGTATGTATTTTCAATATATGCATGAATTTTATATTTATGTAAATAATATTGTGTTTTGTAGCTTATTTTCTTTGTTTTCTAATTTTTTTAGTCAGAGCTGTTTTTTAAGGTTTCTCAATATTGCTACATGCATATTTAAATCTTGTAGATTTTCACCTTCATTAAAATTGCCCCTAGTAGACATTGCTGTTGTCACTCATATCTAGTTTCCATTTCTTCCAGGATATAGGAGAATTCTATTTTCCTGCCTCTTGAAGTTAAGCATAACCTTGTTAATTTCCTTAGCCAATATATGTAAGTGAAAGGATGTGTGTCATTTCCAGATGAAAGCATGTAAAAGCCCGAGTGCAATTTCCACACTCTTTCCTCAGTCATGGCAGTTGTGAAAAAAAGTGTTAATGTAAAGGTTTCATAATACTGAAGCAGCCTTGAAATGCCAAGCCAATTTGGCATCATAAAGATTTATTTTTGTAAAATTCTTCTGTATAAACTCAAAGAATTCTATGGATTTTATGTTTGTGTGTTGCATAATTCTTTACATATCTTTGATAAATCTACATGTGTTTCTTTGGTTGATCTATAAATTTCAGTTTCTGAAAGTGGTGGGTTAAAATTGGTAACTTACATTACTTCACTTATCTCTCTTTGGTTTTGTTAGTTGTTACTTGGTATGTTTTGAGTCTGTATAATTAGGTGTGTATATGTATATAATAAATATGTCTTTTTATTACTTCCTTTTATTTGTATATGAGATCTTTTTTGTTTTTTTAAGACATATTTTTCTTAAATAATCTGATCAAATATTAGGATTGTTACTGCAGCCTTTCTGTGGCTAATATTTTCTTGTTATATATTTCCATCTATTTAAGTCTTTTTGTATCTTTTTGTTTTGAGTGAGCTCCACTAGTAACTATATTTGAAGCCTCTTTTATTAATCAAATTTGAGAATCTGTGTCTTTTAAATGGTGAGTTTAATACATTTATATTTATTATTATTATTGTTATGTTAGAACATATTTTTGTCATCTTTCTTAATATTTTCCAGCCATTATACTTACTTTGGCTTTTTCTCTTTATTCTTCCTTCTTTCCTTTATTACTTTAAAAGTGCTATGCCATTTTGCTGTTATCTTCTTGCATTCAGTGTTGCTGTTGAGAAGTCTGATGTTATTTTGATGTTTATTCTTCTATGGTTGAGCTGTTCTTTCTAAAAGTATGGGTAATTGTTCTTGCTTTTGATGTCTTTAAATTTTACTATATTTAGGTGTCAATTTTTCCTAATCTCTTATATTTGACAATGTATGGGCTATTTTAATCTATGTCATTTGTATTAAATTCTGAGAAATATATCTTCATTTTTTTTCTCCAAGTATTTTTCTTCATTTTTATTTTCCTCTCCTTCTAGAGTTTCTAGCTTCTGGGTGTTGGCATCTTGACTTATACTATCCATTTATTTTAGGTTTTATTTCATATTTTCTTTCTTTTATTCATCATCTTTTATGAAACCTCAATATGATCTTATATTTTATTAATTCATTTTTAGCCACATCTATCATACTGTATTCTTTTTTCCAACCATTCTATTTGTTATAGCTATACTTCCACTTGATTATTTTCATTATTATTTTGGTTCTTATTTCATATTGGTAATATTTTTTCTCATTTCCTTAAATATCTTAGCAGGCTTTACTGAAAGCTTTGTCCTCTGTTCTAATAGGTCTGCTTTGAATGATATATGTTGTAGTCTGTGGTATTAAACAGGAGTCTGTTTATTTTAGCCCGTGAGCTCATGACCCATTCAGTGGTCATGGACTCTGTCAGGTAGTATGTACTTAAAAAGGTCTATTCACAGTCCTCGTCTTTGTCAGTGCTGGAAACTTTAAGAAAGAGAGTGGGCTTAGTTCCAAGGTACAGTGTCACAGAAACAACCATAGCACCACTGCTGACTATTAATATTTCTTTGCCACTCTACCAGGCAACTATCCACAGGGTTTTGACTTTAGACCATTAGGCCAAAACAGTATTTGGAGAAAGTAGTTATCTCCTAAGTCTGTACTAAAAAGTTTTAGGTGTAGTGAGGTAAAAGCGAACAGATAAATGAAAGTTTAGGGAGGCTGGTCTCTCCCTATCAGTTTTCATTAATTTCTTATCTTAAAAGGACTTTCCTATTACTCTCATACTCCCTGGCATTGGTGGACTGGGTTGTGTCAGCTGATTTCTAAGTGAAAAGGCAGCCAATGTAGGGCCTAAGGCAATTAAAGGGAGAGGCAAGAATGCAACCTGGAATCTTAATTGTCTTCTTACCATCTCTGGTCATCCTTTCTCAGGACTTTAGTTACCTTCCTCCCACATCGTTCCACACTCCACCTCTCACTCTAGTTTAACACTGACTTCAACATCCTCAGGAGTTTCTCAGTATTCCAGATTTTGTTGCTGTTTCTGTAATCCAAATTTTCCTCTCACTTTTATGATTCCCATGGATTTGATTTTGAAGAGTGAAGCAGCAGCCCATAGTCGTTCACCATCATCACAGGAATAGAAGCCTTTAGTTCTTTTTCCTGACCTTACTGTGCTGAACAGAATCTCCAGCACAGTATCAACTGCATTGATAGTGGGTACTCTTCTTGTTCCCACTGTGACGGAGGATGCTAAGACATTGCCCCCAGTTCATTATGAAAACGTTTTCTAAAGTGATTTTGGATTTTCAGAAAGAACTATTAATGATTAGAGGGACAATGTTGTCTCTGATTTAACTCAACAACTTGGGAGATCATAGAGATAAACTTCAGAAGGACATCAGATCTTCCTAGAAATCAAGTGCAGAAGTTCAGTGGAATGCTGTTGGACATAGTAAGCACAATGGATGAGAATAAAAAAGGTCAATGAAGAATGTATGTTAAATTCTTGATATGTTAATAAGTAGTTCTTTGTTTAAGGTGGTGCTGAGGTAGTTACATGGTTAAGAAGTGTTTAGTAAAGAGTTTTTTTTACTTTAAGTTCTGGGGTACATGTGCAGAACATGTAGGTTTGTTACATATGTGCCATGGTGGTTTTCTTCACCCATTAACCCATCATCTAGGTTTTAAGCCTCGCATGCATTAGGTATTTGTCCTAATGCTCTCCATTCCCATAAAGGATTTTTAAATTGGAAGTTTTAGATAGAGAAAAGATACACAAATGGCAATCTGTTGCTCCTACTTTTGACACCCAAAGTATTTTAAGCTCCTCCTTTCAGTGCTCCTCAGAATAATGATTCTTCGGAAAGAATGCAGCTTCTAGAGAGAATACAAGTCACACAGGGTGCTCAGGTTAGGGAGAGAGGGTGAGCTGTGGCACTGTGTAGACAGTCTTTTGTGGCAGCCCACAAAAGATGAAGACCTAAGTCTGAATTACTGACAGTCTGAACTCAGAGTAAATGCTGCAGCAAAAATTCATGATAATAAGGGCCCGGAAGCAGGTGTCCATGATGATAGCTTAATCAAGGCAGGCTTTCCTGTTGGCTGAGGTTCACTATTTATTCACTATTGGTATGTGGCAATCCTGTAACTATTGGGCTCCCTTTGACTGTTAGAATCGTGATTCTAGCCCTCATAGTGGCCCAACTCATTAGGCTGCTGTGAACACCTTTTGAATCATATGCCAGGCTCACCTACTTCTTGCCCCCTCAGTCATTGTGGGGATTCTTGTTAATAAATATGCCAAATGTTGGAGGTTATTGATCAGAAGAGGGGTGAGTACCTGAACCAAGATGGATGCCTCAGAACCTCCTCTTTGTGGATTTGAAATCCAGATTGATATGTATCCATATTTATGTCTATGTCTGTATCTACAACTACACCTGCCTATTTATCCATGCATATGGAAAGACTGGCTGACTTACTCCCTTTTCCCTCCTCAGGATGGTGAAGTGTAAACCTGAGAATGTGAGATAGACATCATTTGTACTTACGTGAATCAGAAAAGAAGAGGAGGCAGGTCTGCAGAGGTAGGAGAATAGAACAACCAAGTCAAAATAAGTAGAGACGAAAGATGAAGAGAGAGGGAGCTGGATTAACATTTCAGTTCCATTCTGATGTCTCATTGCATTTGTACCCTATGTTTTTCAAGATCTTTCCCTTCTCAACTGAAGCAAACGCAGATTGGTTTTTTGTTATTTGTAAACAAAAGAGTTGCTGGCTTTCAGTCTGGTGGTATAGAATTTCTCTTTCACTCTCTGATAGCTTAGGATTACCCCTTAGTACCCTGCTCTATGCACCAGTCCTGAGGCTGAAGCCCAGGGGAAGTAATACTAAGAGATGAAGACTTGGCATTGCTCTGTGCAGCTGCAGCCTCCTTGAATGGAGCTTCCCCTGCACGCGTGATCGCTGTGGTTCCTATGCCTCAGGATGGCATGCCCATTGACTTCTAAGCCCTACTGGAACCTCTCTCAAACCACACAGAAAGTATTCTTGTCATAAGTCACTTCCTGGATCCATCTTCTTGGTGAATCATTAATAGTGCCAACTGCCAGGTGGACTAGCCCAGGCTGCAAACTTTTCAATGAACACAGCTGGGTTGAGGAGGAAAATGGCCCAAGCGGAGAATATATCATGGATCCTGGAGAAAATTTTGGAATATGAAGCCAAGGGACATCATAAAGGCATGTCAGAGCTGTAAAGATCAACTGATTCAACTCCTTGAATTTTAAAAGTGAAGGGGAATCAATATTTATTAATGGCCAGCTTTGTAATAAACACATGAATCCCCCAAGAACTTTGTAACACAGGTATGATTCTTGTTGAATAGATGAAGAAACTGAGGTTCAGAGTGGTCAGGTAATTTGCTTATGTGGCGGAGATGGAGTGGATTCTGAAGGCTCCTCACTTCAGAGCACAAGCTCTAGTCAGATTTGACTTGGCTTAGTCACCAAATTAGAGCCTGGTCTCTAGATTCCCAGATCAGTACTCACTATATCTTGCCATACTGCCTCTGTCATGATACAGCTTGTATGCCTGGAGCAGCACTAATCCTAGGCCAGCTGGCCAGAGCGCAACCAGCATCTTGGTATCTACAGCAAAGGCTAAAATGGATCAAGAGCCCAGGATTTCCCATGGCAGCTTTGCCTCCACTGAGGGTTATGAGTAAGTATGCCTAATAATAGTTCAGCACAGCCAGGTCAAGTTTTAATACAAGCTAAGGTCCTAGAACAGGCAGGGTTAAAGGAAGTAATCACAGAGCAAAAAAAGAACCCAGGCTTCTTTTCCTGGTTGTCTCATTTGCTAGCTCTTCCCCTGAATAAGCCACTACCTTAGCATCTCAGTTACTGTGCAGTATCAAAGGAGGCATCTGGACTGGATAGCATTTGCTGACTGGGCTCTGAATTTCCTTGGTAGTCAGGGGAGGCTGGGGCACAAATAGGCCGCTTCCACCATGGGCCCTTGGCCTCACACATGAACCCTTTCTGTGGACAGGAATTTGGCCTTTTAAAAATCTAGGCAGAAGAGAGTACTGGCTACATGCAGTGGGGAGAGAGATGATTTGGAGTTGATGATGAAAGACGCAGCTGTGTGGTTGGGCAATACAGCTATGCCCAACAGTACCCCAAGGAGACTGTTAGCTTAATGTGCCTTACAGATTTCCAGTAGGGGAAAGGGGGTCATTCCATAAAGCCACTCTTCAGTATAATGGGTCATCCTGTATAATGGGCAACACAAAGGACTGTGTTGTACAGATGGTCCATATACGGGGACATGGTCTACAGATGTTCACTGTTGGCTATAGAGCACAGCCAAGTCAGGAAGCACTTGGATTAGAAATAAAAATGCTTTATTTTGTTTTAAAATGTATTAGACTACAACAAATGTTTGCATGGTGCACCATTTGCTGTCTGGCAACTGTCAAGGTATTCATTGAGTCCCGATGCACTAATACTCCTTAATGATTTCTCATGGATTTTAGAATCTGCATTGCACATCTTCTCTCCTGGTATTTGAGGTCTACTGACTCTAAGGCTGTGAGAATTCTCCCAGGCCTGCCTCTAGTATTTACAGTGCCTGGGGCAAGATTGCAAATGGAGACCAATAAACGCATAGATCTAAATATTTAAAAATTCCAAAGCTAGCTAACAAAACCTGTTTTCATCTCTTGTCTTCATCTCTTGTCTTAACAAATATACTATCACAGCAACCTGGAAGGCCAGGTTTGATTTAGAATGATCAGAGACTCCTTGAATATCTCGGCTAGAATGTGCTGGCACAAGGAGAGCTCCTGCCTGTGACCCAACCCCCTTCTCTTCAAACCCCTGTTCCACCTTCAACCATGAGCATCTCCACATCTAGCTTCATCCACAGTTCCATAAATAGCCACCCCATGGCCACTCCTCAGGCCTCAGGATGCACACACTGGAGACCTGATCCACTCTTGGGGGGACAATCCCAAATCCATTTGAGAAAGAAGTCCATGCTGGCCCCAGAAGTAGCACAGCCCATTTGGACAGGGAGTTCTGGGGTTCCAGATACCTGGAGTGAATCCACAAGGAGAAGAAGAGTGGGTTTTTGATGGTGACATCACTTCGGCCACATGGACTCCCTACTGTGTGGGGTTGGGCATGGCTGGAGAATGGTCAGAGTGGAGCCCTTTGAAACACGGGGCCCAGTACAAGAGGTCCTCTTGTTGCTTCTAAAAGTGGTACCACCTTTTTGATGGCCCCAGGAAGGTACCAAAAAGACATCTGTGTGAACCATAGGTTGCACTGAGTTTAATATAAAGACAGACTCTTTAGGCAATATCACTGGAGGATTTTACAACTTGGGTGCATGCTGAGCTAGTGCATTTCCTTCGTGCCTCTGTACACTAATCTCAGAACTATGGTCCTTGCTATGGTCTTCTCACAATTATTCCACACAGGGTGCAGTATCAGTGCTTTTTAAAAGATGCCAGTGACCCTTTAGTGAGTACTTAACATACACCTGGAACTGTGCCACATCATCTGTGCCTTTATCTCATTGCATATGAGATGAGATGCCTGCTGCAAGATGAAGAAATGGGCTCAGAGCAGTGGAGTTTAGGGACTTGCTTTGGGGACTCCAAAGTACAAAGTAGAGAACAAGGTCTGCCTGATGCTAAAGCTTGTGCCCTTTCTTGGTGCCTCCTGGGAGAAAAGAAAAAGCAACAGGTCACCACCCTTCACTAAAACACACAAACACACACACCACTATTCTCCAAGGAGGAATAGTACTCTAGATTTAAGAAAGAACAGTATTGAGAGGTTTTGAAATCCCAGTGACTCTGTGTGTGTGTGTGTGTGTGTGTGTGTGTGTGAGAGAGAGAGAGATAAAGCCAACAGGAGAAGAGCTGAGGCAGAAATCCACTTTCAAAAGTGTATGTGCCCAATTCATGCTTTATTACAAACTGGGAAATAATGATAGGGGGCCTATGGTTTCCCCCAATGTCTTGTGCAGACACAGAGCTCTGCTGCTCAGATCTCCAGCTACATGGATTGTGGTTCATTGATGGTGTTAATTCTTTCAGGGTCCACCTCAGCTTTCCAGCTCCCGGGAAGGACTCTACTCAATGAATGAGCAAGACAGTGATAGCAAAGACACACTCTTCTCAGGGTGGGCTTCTGCAGGGAGTGGTATGACAGCCTAGCTGTTTCTACCCAGCACAGAACTCTTCTACTGCGTGACAGCAATGTTTGCTCTACAGCATCCCAGTGGGCTGGCCTCTGTTTGGATGGCATCACAGTCTAATGGCGCCCTCTGCCTAATCCAGCTTCTGCTCTGTTCTTTTCAGTGGTGTAACTCTCCAATGAATCTTTTACACTCCCAACTCTGTCTCAGCATCTGCTTCCTGGCTAACCCAACCTTCTGCAGAGTCTTGTACTTCACAGATAACCAAAATAAAACACTAATGCCAATCCACTAGAATATAATATGTATGGGTTTTTTTCTGAATAGTCTCCAGCACCTAGAATGGTCATTGACACATGTTGGGTATGGAGCTCACTAAACAATTGTCAAATGAATGAATGAAATCCAAACAAATCTTGGCATTTGCTCATGTTGGGATCAGCTGAGTCTAAATAGTTCTTCTTCCATCATCCTCTATTTCATTACCACCTTCTCCTGTCACACCAACATCCAGTCCCCTTTTTATCCTCTTTCCTTTCTTTCCCTTCCTCAATTCCTGAGAATTTATATCAGGCACAGTGCTACGTGCTCAGAACACCTTCTGCAGTTCTTCCAAACCACCATCTCATCTCCTTTTCAGCTTCTCTTTTTTCTTTTTCTCAGGAAGCGAGGGGCCATTTACAGCCACCATTTCCACCAATCAGGAGCAAATACTGACTCATCCTCTACTCCCATCCTTTTCAGAATAGGAGATGGGCTCTACTCCCATCCTCCTGGGAGTAGGAGATGTTCCCAAAGAGCATCCTAAGTAATTCTAAAGAGCACTGCTGGCCTAACAAGGTGCTTTTTAAACCTTTAAAATTGTCTGCTAGGTATCAGTATTAGGTACTCTGCCCACATTCTCTTTTTAAAAAATTGCAGTAAAATAAACATACCATAACATTTACCATTTTAACCATTTTGAATAGCACAATTCAGTGCTTCTACGTATATTCATAATTTTGTGCACACATCGCTACTATCCATCTCCAGAACTTTTTCATCTTCTCACACACTGTGTTTATTTTCAATAACAACTTTCCATTCCTCTTTCCCCACAGCCCCTGCTAATCACTGTTCTTCTTTCTGTCTCTATGTACTTGACTATCCTAGTTACCTCATATAAGAGGAATCATGCTCTGTCCTTTTGAATATCTCTTTTGTGTCTGACTTATTTCAGCACAATATCTTTGAGGTTTATCCATGTGTTAGCATGTGTCAGAATTTCCCTCTTTTTAAAGGCTGAATACTATTCCATTGTATGTATATATCATATTTTTTTTATGCACTCATCTGTTCCTTGGCATTTAGGTTATTTCCACTTTTTGGATATTGTGAATAATGCTCCTATGAACACTGATGTACTTGTATCTGAGTCCTTCCTTTCAATTCTTTAGAATTAAGAGTAGAATTGCTGAATCATATGGTAATTATGTTTAACTATTTTTAGGAATTGCTCAACTCTTTCCATGTTACTAACAAGGTGCTTTTTGGAAATAGGGCTCCCTGGTCAACACACAGCATCCTCTGATTCCCTCTTGGAGAGTTACAATGCACATTGGCACAGTAAAGGATATGAGAGGTCCTGAAGCAAAGACACCTATGTAACTTTAACCGGCCATTTCCCAAATTAATGTGATTGTGAAACCCTTTGTGCAGAGTAACTGGTAATATAAAAGTCCCTGCTGGTTTGGGAAACAATGCTTTAAGCTCAGCAGGCCTACATAGGAAGGACTGTGACCTAGGGCCAGTGGGTCGTGGAAGTATTACTCAGAGGAGACAGAGATGGGATTACCTCCAACCCTCCAACTAGCCTGCTGCGTGGCTTTCCTTCTCTTGGCAGCTCTGCACATGCTGTGTTCTCTACCTGTTCTACCTTTCCTCTGCTTCTTTGCTTCTTGAAGTTCTACTTATGTTTCAGGACAAGCTCAGGCATTCTTGCTCCCCTTCCTTCAGGGAACTCTGACCCTGCTCTCCTATCTCCCCAGACAGGAATTAGGAGCTCCTCTTCTACTGAACCCTTATTATACAGTGTGGCCCTGTTAAATTGCCTGCTTCTTCCGCTGTATCAAATGTGGTCAGCCTCAGTTTGCAACTTTAGTTCATATAAATAATCACCTGGAGAGTTTATTAAAAATGCAGATAACTCCATTTCACTGAAATTCCAACTCAGTATCTTTGTGGTGCGCATTCAGTAGCAGCTCCAGAATGTGCATTTTTAACAAGCCTCAGGCAATATTCTCAGGCGGATGATTCTTGTGATCCCCTTTAGCTCTGTGAGGATAACAGTCAATTCTCCCCTGTTTATTTGACACATAGTAGGCATGAAACAATGGTGAATGAGTGAGCAAAGGAACAAATGAATGATGAGTGAATGAATGAAATAATCTGTTTCCTCCTCTGAAAAATGATGAGCTTGGACCAGATGTCCTCTAAGCTTTTCTTGGCTTAAACTTCATGTGATTTAGGTTATTTTTACCAAAAATTCTACACTCTTGGCAGCTTTAATAACAGAACCATATACAATACACAAACTCAAGCACATGAAACAACCAGGGAGACATGCTGAAGAGGATTTAGTCTAAGCTAATATCCAATCAATGACCCAGGACTCATGAATAACCATTATTTTTGAAACTAGTAACGTCATCGCAGGCTAGAGACACAAAGAGGGGCATACACTCGTGCCATGTGAATTCAGTCTCATTCTCTCCTGTGTGAGTAGCCAATGGGCACGCCATCAGGGATGAAAAATCCCTAGGTTTGGGAATTAGAGAGCTATGCATTATGGGAAACCAGGGTCCAGGGAGCGGTTTAGGGTGTTTAGCTGCCTTCCTGTGGCATGGAGGGGACACACTGTTAGCACCGTTAGGGCCCCCTGCCTCTTCTATGGTCACTTGTCAGTGGAGTCATTGAATATATAACCCTTGACTCTTTTCCGTGAGAACCCTGCAGGTTTTGAGAGGCAGCTTTGGCTTCTCACAAGAGCTGTGGCCCAAGAAAAATGAAGTCTCCCATTATTTACAACCTCTCAGCATTTCAGAGGAAAAAGGTTGGCGGTGGCTGCCAAGATCCAGCAAATATTTGGTTAGCTTGGAAAGAATGGGTGCTCATTTTCCAATTCTCACAGATTTCTCTATGCCCAGTTCTTTTTATTAAAAACTTTAAATCCAGAGATAAAGTCGAATGGCACTGCAGGCTCTAAGCATTCATCTGTATCCCAGGGAGCAGAACCCAGGATCTAAACAAAGAAAAGTTTAATCAATAGAATTCATGAATTCCCTCTAGGAATAGGACCCAACGTAGCAGAAGAATAAGCAGAGGGGCTCCTATCCATGGTTTTCTATTAGTGGATATTTCTGGGAAGGACTTTGGAGAATACCCTTTCAATTGACCAGGGTCAGCAAACTATGGCCCATGGGCCAAATCCTGCCTGCTGCCTTTTTAGTTGAGTTTTGTATTTTTGTACAGCCTGTTGAGAATTTTTTTTTTCACTTTTGTATAGAGTTGAAAAAAATCAAAAGAATATTTCACAAATATCTGAAAATTAGATGAAATTCAAATTTGTGTTTGTAAATAAAGTTTTATTGGAACACAGCCACATCCATTTGTTTGCATAATATATACGGCTGTTCTTGAACTACAGTGGCAGAGTTGAGTAGCTGAGACACGAGACCACATAGCCCTCAAAGCCTAAAATGTGTACTATCTGGCCCTTTGTAGAAAAAGTTTGCAGAGCCCTCGAATAGGAAATGTAAGAGTTGCCTCTCACTATTATGTGAACTAAAAACTGTAAGATATATAAGCACAGTTAACTAATCATAAATCAAACACTTGTATAAACTCACACTTGAGTCAAGAAATAAAACATTGTCCATCAATCAGCACCCAGAAGTCTTCCATGTGTTCTTTCTCCTCCACTAGAGCTATGAGCCTTTGTGACATTTTCCTTGCTGTTCTTTGTACTTCTACCACCTAAACTCTGAGTTTTGCCTGTTTTCAAACTGTATATAAACAGAATAACACTGTATATTTGCCTTTGCATCTGTTTCTTTCTCTCAAATTTGTGAGACTCAACTCTGAGTTGTGTGTGGCTATCGTCCTGTCATTTCCTCTGTTGTCACTTCCATGGCATTTCACTATGTTACTTAGGCAAGTTTCGTTTGTTCATTTTACTGTTAGTGGACAGTTGGATCATTTCTTGTTTGGGGCTATGGTGAATAACACTGCCATAAACATCTCGTACTTGGGCCATCATTGATTTAAGAGTCTTTCAAAAGTAGTGGAATTGCTGGGCTGTAGGCTATGCAGACTTTCAACTCTACCACTTAATGCCAAATTTTTCTTGGAAGAGGCTGAACAAAATCACATTCCCACCAGCCACCTCCTTTTAGGAAGCTGAGGAGCTCTTTGTATGTTATCAGCACTATTTCTACCTCCACAACCCTGGACCTAATGGTGCCTGCTCTCTGACCTTCAGGGACCAGACATGACCTTCGTCCCTTCCACTTTGTATCTTCTCTTAAAATAATTCTGAAGTCTTAAAAAAACAAAGTAGCAAGGAAACAGTCACCTTTCTAAGATTGGTCCTTGAAATGTGATCTCTTCTGGATTCACATGCTTGGCTAGCAGGTAAACCAGGTGTGAGAAAATTCTGACACCATCCCCCCACAGATGGGAGCTGAGAAAGAAAGCTCATCACAGTCAATGGGGCAGGTGGTATTATAAAGCATGCACAGTGGACAGGATGAGGAAACCAAGGAAATGGTACCTGCCCATTTCTCCAGGGAATCAGATTATATGATCAGAGTATCAGATCATGGGAAGCTGACGCTTGTGTCTTTCTCTGAACGGTTTTGGGAAAACAGGGCTGAAAAGACCCCCTCCTCCAAATGTCAGTTTGCTGAAACCCCAGCACTGGGAGTACCAAGCACTAGAGGCATTTCTGAAGCATGATGTAGCGCTACTTTGAAAAGGCACAAATAAACCCCAAATCCTAGCACACATTTATCCAGTTTGTGAAGCGGATTAATAGAATAACCAATAAAACATGTATAAAAGCTTTAATTAAATCTGATGAAATAAAACTTCATGTTTTATTTATGGACACTCCCAACATGTAAAGGATTCAGGGAGACATTCATTTTTACTGCCATTTCGTCCTCATATCTATAATTAAATCCAGGCTGCAGCTCTGGCCCAAAGCAATGCGGCATTTTAAAGCTGGACTTGAACATTCCCTCCCCCATCATCTGCCTTTAATTTTAATTACCATTCCCAGTATGTAGGAGGCTGATGGTAAAACAAAACAAAATAATCAAACAAACAAACAAACAAACAATGATGGTTGCCATTGTGTTTTAAAGCGACAGGCTGAAGGAGGCTTTTAGGCAGGAGGGTGTCTCCTCTATTTCCAGTTTTATTCTGTACCAAGTGCACAATCCCTTCATTTTACTTTTGACATAAAAAAAGGACTTCATGAACAAGACAAAATAACTTATGATTATATGAAACATAACTGTGACAAATCACAAAACTATACATATTAATAGAAAAAAGTGTACCTAATTCTTTAAAAGATTTATGACAATAAGCACCAGATGTGCCTCTAGAGTAAAATCGGCCCCATATCCAGTATGATATATGCAGTTCATTTCTCTACGTGAGTGTATATAACTATGTACAAGAGTCTGTGTGATTTATGGAAAACAGATTTCCACTTTTTTCCCCCAAAGTGCTTTATGTCAGCAACATTACACAGGATACTTTGCTGTCTGTACAAAATAAATCTCTTCTTTTTTACACTCACTATTTCTCCAATGAGTGTTTTTTTTTTTTGCTTCATCTGTTGCACAAAAAAAAAAAAAAAAATTGTTACCGCAGAAATTCCATACCACTAACAAAAAGTGCTATTTAAAAATGCTTCTATAAAATGACATGGCCAAGAGAGTCAAATAAAATACCGAATAATTAAACTGAACATGTACAGTCGCTATTCCCAATACTTCAAGGCAACCGGAAAGTCAGGGTTCTCGGATGAGGGAGTTGAATTTATCCTTGCTCAAAATTGGTTTTAGGGTGCTACTGTGCTTGATGGCTGGTAATTTAGAAACAACTGAACAAAGCCAACACTCTGTTATCAGTGGTAACTCTGCTGTGATCTACTAAAGACCTTATTTTTTTCTACTTTATTATCGCTTATGTAATTTGAGGGAGACGTGGGTACTGGGAGATACCCCACAGGACCAGTAAATATTTAAATAATATTTAACAGCTGATCAGAGGCTAAATTATAACTGACACTTTGATGCAGTTTCGTTAGGGAATTAAGACAATGCAGCCAGTGAACTATCTCTAGGCAGACTGATTTTTTTTAATGCAATAGGATAATTGTCTTTGTGCTGTGTGTTTTCACAAGCACTAGTTTTTTGTTTTGTTTCTGGTTTTTTTTTTTTTTTTTTTTGAGACGGAGTCTCGCTCTGTCGCCCAGGCTGGAGTGCAGTGGCGCAATCTCGGCTCACTGCAAGCTCCGCCTCCCGGGTTCACGCCATTCTCCTGCCTCAGCCTCCCGAGTAGCTGGGACTACAGGCGCCCGCCCCTGCGCCCGGCTAATTTTTTCTATTTTTAGTAGAGACGGGGTTTCACCATGGTCTCGATCTCCTGACCCTGTGATCCGCCCACCTCGGCCTCCCAAAGTGCTGGGATTACAGGCGTGAGCCACCATGCCCGGCCTTGTTTCTGTTTTTAAGGGGAATGACAATCTCTGTTTGGATGTTTATGAAAATGGCTGCATATCAAGACTTTAAAAAACCAGGACATGAAAGGGAATGATTTTTTCGAAGCTTCCACTTGTACTACTGCAAAAATACTGATGAAAGTATATATAAATCTTCTGCAGTGTGAAAGTAAGCAAGGGACAAATTTTAAGGTCAGGAAAGACTCTAGAATCTAAGCATAGTGTGTAGTCTGGAAGGCATCTGAACGTGTCCTATCCTGAGGCCACAATCTCAAGCCTGCAGCTATCAGGAAAGACCCACGGTGCAGGAAGCAGGGCTGCACCGGGTCCTGCTGCCTGCACGCTCTGAGATGCAAATGTCCCTCAGGGGCTCCACAATGATTTCCTGCTGAGGAAGGAGGGCTGCAGGTGCCTCTACTGCTTAGGCCCTCTATAGAGTCCCTCTAGCCCCCGTGAGGTAAGAAAGGGGCAGGGCTACTGTGAGAGGCCACCGGAAGACTGGAGCCTGGTTCACAAGCAGCTCCTCTTAAAGAGGGAGGTAATGTCCATGGTTTCTAAAGTTCAGCTTCTGTTTTGTCCTCCTTCCCCCTTTCTACTTTAAATTACATAAAGCCAAAAGGCAGGACTGACAATGTCAACTGCAATAACAACCTTGCCTTTTCATCTTTTTTCTCATTGTACAAATGAAATGAAATGTATTTTGAGTTCCTTGTAAAGGCTTCCCTATTTAAGTATGAATAGATGGTCTCTCTGAAGATAGCAGTTTTTCTTTCTTTCCAGAGTATGACAAAGGACGCATGAGGGATGCTACCAGCTGTGAGCATGCATACGTTAGGCCACTTGCTTAGGCCAAGTGACACGACCCACAAAGCTGCAAGAAGGGTGGTACTTTACAAGCAGCCTTGGAGTTCACTTGTAAAGGAAGCCTGATGTGCATCTTTTGTAAAGCAGAGCTGGTTTTTCTAAAGTGGCTAACTCACCTCTTTTGCAGACTTTGACGTCTACATGAAAGCTTTTCTTAGAATATAGTCCACTACTCAGAGAAACTAGATTGACCAAGTGCACTGTGAAAACGAAACCCATACTTGGTTCCTCATTCACCTCATTCTACTACATGCTGGAATGAACTCTAGAATCAGGTAGAATACTTCTGATTGTGGGACTGTGGAGGGAGACTGGAAGGACCTGTCTATATACAAACTGTCACAGAATCTCATCTAACATCAAGCTGTTTTAGTTGTCTTGTTGAAGATTGTAATGATCTCAGTTTGACAAATGGCATTGTTTCACTTTTGTTCAGAAAAACATTTTTAAAAAGTGAGAAAAAATACTTGAAATATGATTGTACCAGAATGTTAGAACTTACTGTATCTTTGGGACTGGCCAATTTTTATAGCTGATGCCCTAGGACTTGGGATCTGCAAGAGGTGTCACAGAAAATGACTTCCTATTTAGGCTTGATATTTTCAACCAAATGCTCTGGGAAAATTCCAGGCCTTCAAACCTGGAACTCAGAAAAAGAATTGCTCCTTTCTGTAGACTTTTCGAGAACTGTCACCTCTTCCTTCCCAAGATGATCAGACAATGGCGGCTGGGGGGGTACCTGAATGACAGTCAGGAAGAGGGTAAGAGGGATGCAAAAGGAGGGTGGAGAGAAGTATAGGGAAGAGACAGACAGATGAGTGGATATCCTGAAAAACGTTAGTAAAATCTGTGCACTGGAAGTCAAGCATCACTAGGTTTGGTTTTCCAAGGGAAGCCGGCACACGACTCAGTCTGTCCCGGTTCTCACATCTGGCACTTCTCTGGGCACAGCACCAGAGTGGAGGCAATGGGTAAACCAATCAAACAGTGTTTTTCTTTGAACAAAGTCTTTGAGGTGGAGTCACTAAACAGTCAACCCAGGAAGGTTCCAGCTACAGGATTGTTGGTGCGGGAGGTGCCCACTCCATTTCCCTCAGGTAGCCTTTGCTAACTGCAAAACTAACATGCCAGAGGTGGGGCCAGGCGGAACCACAGCTGTGCAAAACGTCTGTAGCTGGGGTGATTACAATAATAATGATTTCCATCCAAAGAACAGATATTTACATATTTTTTTTCATTTTAAAGTACGTATAAATAACAAGTCTTTAAAATGCAAAAACAAAGATAGGCTGCTGGCATATAAAACCTTACTCTGCTACTGAAGAAACACCGAGAAGCAACTGGTTAGCATGCGGCTAAGAGAAAAGGGAAACCCAGGGAGTTTCTAAGAGTTGAGACCACACTATGCTTTGGACATGGATTTCCCTTGTTGTGCCTGGCTTTGTATCAGGAGCAGTGAGGGTGAGGATTAGGTGAGGCAGGTCACTATGCCTCTGGTAATTGAGGTCTTTTTCCCTGTTTGGAGTTTTCAGACAGGGTCATCCCCATACTACATTTTCACATGCACATCATTTCATTGGTGTCCTTTAAGTGTTGACAGCCAGGAAGTAACAGGTATCCAGTAGAGTGAGGCTCTAAATTCCCTTTGAAAAGATAGTCCTGCTGGTCACCTAGTCCAGGAAACCCAGAGAGAAAAAGGAGCAACTGCAATGATTCCTGCAAAGCTAACTCTGCCATTCAGTCCTGCCTTCCGAAAGAACATCAGTAACTCTGCAGGTCCCGCTGATTGGGCTGACATCCTTCCTCATGCAGTCTGTGAGAGTACGAAAACAAAAGGTAGCAAGCAACATCAAGGTCCTGGGTGTGCAGGAGTGGCCAAGAGAGCTTTTAGCCTTCGGTGTAGACAGAGGAGAGCTGGCTGGGACAGCGGTCCACAGCGCTGATCTGCAAGAAGGTGGCGTCTTCAGCCCCACCGCGGAGAGACTCCCCAAAAAGGCTCGAGGAACTCGAAGGTAAATCATACACTGGAAGAGAAAGAACACAGTAAGTCAGCAACTCCTGCCCCATGCCACACCCACTGGAAGTGCATTCCAGTAATGCAGCTCAGCAAGTGAGGACTGGGAGCTAAGGAGGCAACCACGCCACCCTGGGCCCTACAGTGAGTCTCTGTTTTCCACGACCTTAGTGAGGGAGGAGGCCGACTTGCAGGCAGCTGGCTAAAATATGACCACACAAAAGACAGGCTGAGAAGAAGTAAAAGAAAAGTGTTCCAGGGAAGGCTGGGGGTGGCCTCAGAAAAGAGGTGGTGTTAAAGTTGAGTCATAAAGAGAATGGAATGCTCACAGATGAAGAAATATGGAAAGAACATTCTAGAAGGAGGAAACAAAGAGCAAAGACAGAGAGGGAGAGGCATGTGGGGTCAAGAGTGCTGGCAAAGCTCAGGTGAAGAGTATGTAGGGAAAAATGTGTGTGGGCAGGTGTGGAGAGCTGGATCAGGCCTAACTCATGGGGGCTTTGAATGCCATGCTGGAGAATCGAATTTATTCTCTAGGCAATTGGAAACTATTTAATATATTTGAGCAGAAAAGAGGCATATTTTATCCTTCATTTTGGGGAGGCAATGTTCATAGTAGTATGGAGGGAAGAATGGTAAAGATAAGGAATCAGGTCAGGGAGACTTACTAGAAGGTTATGGCCATAGTCTGGGAGAGACATGATGGCTCCTGCACCAGGGCAGTGGGAGAAGAGGGTCTGAGGGAGGGCTGAAGAGGAAGGTGAAGATAAGAGACATTTCAGGGGTCATTTAACAGGATTTGATGCGGTCACGTGCTTGGTCAAGTCCAGCCCAGGTCAGTCACAGGCAGCCCACCTGGTCTCTCCTGTCAGTTGACAGGATTTTCTAAGTCACAGACAACCAACACACCTGTAATGCCCGAGTGAGTCGAGAAGGCTCTGTGGAAAACATCAAAACCGGACTGGCCCATGGATGTAGGGACCAGGCAGTCCTCAAAGGAAGGCACCACACTGCAGGAGCTGACAGGCGGCACAGTTCTCTGGGAATCGGGATAATGTGGGGGGCAGAACGTCTGCAGCTGCCCATAAAATCCTGAAATACAAGCATGGCATTGAGCTCCTATAGGCACAAGTTCCACAGATCATTCCAACCCAGCTAGAACCTCACTCAGCCTGGCTTCATATGACAAATGCCTTTAACTCTTAAGGCCACTTGTAAAATCTTCCAAGCAAACATTTGGAATGCACTGTTGGGCTGAAGCTCTTCTACCTTAGAGGGATTTCCAAGCTGGTTAGTGTGTAACATTTTTATTATGTGCTTTAGTATCTGAAGTGGGAAGCCTTCTTACCTTCCCTAGACTCTCTGAAGAGTCCTGGACATTGAAGGCCTGACCTTCAGGGGAGGTTTCTACCCCAGATTCTCCCACTGACATTTAAATGCATCTTCTTTAACTTCCTTTATCCTATATTTTCTTCTGTTTACACACTGGTTAAAATCTTGCAGAATGCTCTTAAAAAGACCCACTTAAAAATGCATCCATCTATCTGTCTTTCCAATAGAGAAATATATGCACATTTAGATCTTATTATCCTGGCTAGGTAGACAGTATTCCATAGTTGGATGTACTTAACTATTACTATTGTTGATCTTTGCAGTAAATGGAAAAACTGGAAGTGAATAATGTTATGAAAATGTTAGAAAATAAAAATGAAATACAAATAAAACTCCAAAAAAGGAAAAATATGAGAAAAGAGTAATATTTGAAAATAATCATCAACCTTTTGATAATTTTATTTCATCTATTCCTTTCAATTTTTTTCCATTCAATGTAGTTTTCCTTGGGGTCCTATGTGGTTCTTTTCTATGATCCTCCACTCCTTTCATGATGGCTGGCTTACTTTTTTCTTCTTTCTCCTTGCCTCATAATACATTTAAGTCAACAGATTATTTTCTTGGAGCGTAATATGCTTTTGAAAATATAATAATGAAATCTTAGTTCCATACTTTATTGGAGGGAGAGTTGTGGCTCTGCTGTTAACTCTCTACATTTCATTGTGTCTGTCTCCTCAACTGTAAAATGTGAATGTCCTTGTCTACTTCAGCAGGCTATTGTGAAGATTAAGTGAGTCACTGGATAAGGAAGTCCATCTGTAACGTGTTAAAGTACTTTATAAATGTCAGTTATTATTGATATCACTATTCTGGTTTTGATGAAAAAAAGGGATTAATAGAGAAAGTACCCCAGGATTTTTTCCACAAACACTAAATAATGGAGAATGCAGAACAAACCCATGGACTTTGGACCCTTAATCCTGTGTGCCTTCCTCTACTAGAACTGCTTCTTCTTGAGACTGGAAAGCTTCATCCCTTATTAAAGAAATGAACCACCTATCAAAAGAGAGGGGAGGTGCTATTTGAGTTTCTTCTTAGCTCTCTTTAAGTAAAACCAGAGTGAACTGATACATCCAACGTACTATGCTCTCAACCCTTCTCATTTCCCATTAGGACCCACAATGTAGACTGTGTAACTGCTCAGATCACCCTTGCTGGGACGCTGGGAGGCCTATTCTATGGTTGTTATGAATATTGCCAAAGAATGTGTGCTTAACCGTCCATAAAGACACATACTGGCCCTCTAGGAGTCTGTGATCCAAGATAGATCAAATGCAGATTTATGGATAGGGCACATTCATAGTGGAAAACAAAATGATAATATCCTTTATAAGCAGACTAGAGTGCACTTTATATAGAATCAACAGAAAAATCCACATAAGGTTTGGAAGAAGATTAAATGCTTGTTGTTAGTATAGACAAGGAAAATACCTAAGGAAATTCCACATCAGGCCAGAAGAAGAAAGAATGGAAAACTATTGTCTCTTTTCCTTTTGATCCCCAAAGGCATGGTTTCAATAGACAGGCAGGCAAAGGACCCAAACAGACCACTCATAAATACTCATATAATTGATCATCCAACATGAGCAAACTGTAAACTCTCAAGCCCACAAAGAAACACAAATCAAAACAATGATAAAATGTCACATTCTACCTATCACATTGGCAAAGATTTCTAAAAATCATTCTCAATGCTGAAGTGTCAATGAAGAAGGCATTTCTATGTAGTGTTGTTGACACTGCAAGAGTGTACAAGCCTTTTGGAAAACAGTTTGACAACCTGTATTTAGAACCCTAAAAGTGTTCAGGCTATTAGATTAAGGAAATTCACTTCTGATAAAGTATCCTGAAAATATATTCTGAAGAACATTAAGAAATTCTGCACAGGGACAGTGGTTGCAGTGCTAGTGATCAAAATAGAAAACTGAAGAGTCAAAATGGCCAACCATAAGAGAATGTCTAAGCAAACAGTGGTACATTTATGTGATGGGAATTTTAAATAGGTATTAAAACAATATTTATAATGACCTTTTAACAACATGGAAAGACCATTATAAGGTTTATGTTTCAAAAAGCAAGATACAAAATTGAATATGAAGCCTAGGATCAGTTGTATGGATGCCTATGTTACAGAATAAAGATGGCAAGTTACCATATCTATAGTTGTCTTTGGGTATTTTTTTTTTTGGGCCTTTATATTTTTTCTGAATTTTAGCAATAGTGAAGAGCAAGTACTCTGGATCCTGGGGTTCAAATCCTAGCTCAACTACTTACCAACTGTGTAGTCTTGGCAAATTACTTAGCTTCTGGTGCCTCAGTTTTCCAATTTATAAAATGAGGTTAATGATAGTAATTATATCATACTGAGTTATAAGGATTAAATGAGTTAATATTTACATATTATGTAATATAATTTTATAATTAACATTTATGTAATATATAATTTAATAATATAAATTACATAGTATATATGTTCGCTAAATAAAAAATAAAATTATTTTATAATGACAATGTAGTTCTTAAAAATAAAAGTTTATTGAGGGAAATAAAATTTCCAAAAATAACAAGGAAGTTATTTAACAATAACCAATCTAAGAAAGGACAAAGCAGCAGGTATGTGGCACACCCCCTGTTTCCAGGGGGAATCTTGAACAGTTTTGGCCTTTTGAAGACCTAAGCTGTATACCTCTTCTTGCTCATGGCTCCTCAATCCTGTGCTAATTGACACACAGACTAATTTCTTCATTCACCCTACTGGGGGCTCCAAACAGCAACATGTCTAAGTGGTTTGAGGGAACCTGGAATGTGGAGATGTATGGTTTCGGTAGTTCCTTGGCCTGATCTTGACTTTGGTACCTGGAGGCCAGGTACCGGCAAATATGGCATACCCATGAGGAGGAAAACGTTATCATAAACCACCATGGCTGGTCTACTAGAATGTAATGTCTCCTGAGCAAAAGAGACAATATTTGCTATCTATACCCTTATGCAAGCTCTCCTCATATTTGTCACCCATAAATTTCCTGATAGCCCTCCTCAGTATAATATCACCCTTCCAAGAAAAGAAGATATTTTTTCACTAAACTCCCACAACTTCACAAATAGGGACATTAATCATTCAGGGACAATGATAGAGACTTTCACTGACCTTTTGTGAAAACCAATTTATTCTCCCTTTCCTATCTTCTCTCCTATTTCTAAGAGGGAACAGAAGTGTCACATGCTTCAGTCTATATTCAAGTGTTGTGATATATATGAGTATAAAAGGTTTGTGATGTGGCAAAATACACCTGGGAAAGTTAAGTATCAAATCCAACATTCTGGGCTTCATCTCCTAGTCTGGATCTGAGTGAGGAGGGCAGAGTAGACTCTCATTCCTGCCTGTGGGTGTCTTGGCTGACACAGGAAACTGTCAAAACCAGAATGGCCCCAGAAGCATGTTTTATCACTCTAACAGCCAACTTAAGAAAAGAAAATCCTCTTTATTAAATCTCTCCCTCCAAGTAGCCAGTTACTAGAGATGCCAAATACACTGGTGTGGATGGTTGCGGTCACTCAAAGAGTTTTCACATATTCTCTTCCTGGTGCTATTTTCACAAAACTAACATTTTTTTTTTTTTTTTAAATTCCGTTAGGGTCTTACCACACACACAAACCCAGAGAAGGCCTAACTCGTTTTCTGATGAATGGCTCCTGTATTCCAGCGGTTGGATTTCATGTAGCAAATTTGGAAAGAACACTACTTCTCGGACCCAAAGCAAAATGAGGCAAGATGTTAACACATTTTGTGGGCATAAAACCCGAGAGTGGTGGCAAGGTCAGCCAATCTGTCCGTCAGTCAAAAGTGGCTATCAAGTGCTGGTTAGGGTGCTATTGCCGAAACCAAAGAAATATAAGACAACATCCTTGTCTTTGAGGACTGATAATATAGTTGGAGTGAGAACACATGCATTTGTAATAGCATAAGAACATATACATAAATATAAGTTGGCAATAAATATTAGTTTTTATTATACATTTAATTACAGAATCACCCCTCTACTTTAAAAGTTATTTTGCCTTCATGGAGGAGGGGAGGAACTTGCAGATAAATGTATTCTACCTAAACTGCAGTTTTCAAAGGTCAAGGAGAATCATTCTTCCTCCTCTCAGTTTTGGGAAGTTTTTTTTTTTCCCCTTCTAAAAAAAGACTTTTTTTTAAATTATAAGAATATTTGAGGCTAATTATAAAGTAGAACGTGCAGACTATATAAACAAAGAAGGCAAAAATTATTTTTTATTTCCATGATTCAGAATATACACACAAAACTGAAATGTTTTATATATTTATCTTCTGTTTTTGCCTCTAATATCATGCATGAATTTCTTCACATGCATTCATTCTTAGAAGGCTTTTTCTTTTTCTTTTAGTCACGGAGTAACCAGTGTCTCTGTGATGATAGGTTAAAGAGTTCACGGTCCCTTTTGCTAATGATGATAAAGCAGCCCCATGAAGCTTTGGATTTCCTTCCCAAAGTAGAAAGGGAGTGGGGAAGTTAGAGGAGAAAGGCATTACATGACTAAATATGATAATAGAAGGATACCTTCTAGGGCCATGCTGTCCAAGAGAACTTTCCATGATGATGAAAATGCTCTTTATCTGTGCTGTCCAATGCAGTAGTTACATGTGGTTATCACATCACATTTCAGCCACTTGAAAT